ACAACAGGAGAGATTGCTGGGGAGGGGCATCTGGGGAGCAGCTTTGAAGGCTCCTTTTCAAATCTTGGACTGTTTCTATGTTTGTATTCATGGTTGTCCATCTAAATCCTGAGAAGCTCCAATGAGGAACATGAGGTTTGTGGTCAGACTCAAAGATCTTAAAGGTCTTGTCCAACTCAATCATTCTATGACTTGGTGATTTTTATGATTTCACAACTTCTCCCGCTAAACTCTCCTATTAGTGCACTCCCCTCACTCTTAAAGGTTTTTATGTCTACTTTGAACTTCCTAAGCTACAACATCTTGTTACCACCACTATTTTTATTGTGTGACACTACCCAGAAAAGTGTATCTTCATCATCATCCCATGTTTAGTTGTGGGTGCCTGCCAGATCATTTTACTGCTAGCCTGCACTGTCTCAGAATAAACAAGACATTTCCCAGCTCTTTTAACTTATGCTCATAGGTCAGATCTCTGTCCCTAACCATTTTGTTAACCCACTGCTGAACAAATCCATCACTGCTCTCAAAATGTCCCAGAAACTGAGCAGAGTGTTTCAGTTATGGCCCCACTGCTGCAGTCCTGAGGTGGATAATGCCTTCCCCTGACCTGCTGGCTATGGGCTTTTCCTTATTCGACAGGAAAACCTGTTTTTCACTGTTTTTTTTTAGGTGACCACCCAGCCTCCTAGTCCTTTTCATCAGAGCATCCATCCAAACCAGTCAGGCTGTCCCTTACCTACCTGGACCCTCTGATCCCTTCACAAAGTCATTCTGCCTTGGATGTAAAATAACATTTTATTCTTTGGCCAGCCAAAGATCTGAACTCAAGATATATTTTTGGGAAACATAAAAACATTAAGCAAATTAATATTGATGGACTTCCTCATGAGCTTATATACAAATTATCTAGATTTTTTTTTTAGAAGACCTATTTCTTTACATTTTAAATATTACTAAATCTGATAGATTTTTATATACTTTTCCTCCTCACGAGTGAGCCAAATGAGCATGAAAGCTTTCCTGTATTTTTGAGGTTCTTTATTCTAGATACCTCTTATGTCTGAATAATTTCATTTTTTACACAGTCAATTTGTGTTGAAAAAACTCAAATTTAACTTTTTCCGTTCAGGTTGTCAGGAAAATTAATCCACAAACACCAGAGGTTTCTGTCCAAAAAGGAGACAGAGGAGTCCTTTAAATTTATTTGAACGAAGGGAGAGGCCAAGGGGCATTCCCCTGGGGTCTCTTAAATTTTTGGAAGGCACAGCCTCCTTTTTATCCTAATTCCCAGCTGCTTGTCCCTTCTCCCTTTCCCCATAGGCTGAGGTACTTGAGAGGTACAGGCTTCCCCAAATGCCTGATACCTGGGGTACCTTCCCCCACCCCCAATGCATAATCCTTTCTTAATTCTTAACTCTTGTGGAATTCATGGTGCTCTTTCAGTACCTCTTTCATCTTTCAGTGGAATCTCTCCCATTGTTTCTGTTGTCTCTCAGTGATAGTTGCATTTTATCAGCAGACCCACTGCTCGTTTGTAAAGACAAGCCCATCATCCCTCTCAAGATCAATACCAGGAATATCAGGATCATTCTCTGCCTCCCTCCCTCCCAGCCTATTTCTCTCTCTCTGTCTCTCTCTCCCTCCTCTCTGTCCTATCCCATCTACTTTGTGTGTAGTCAGAAAACCCTGGTGCAGTGAGCTGGGCCCGCAGAGCAGCTCTGGGCAACGTGGAGACCAGAGAGAAAAAGGGGCACTCTGTAAAAGGTGCCGGGAACAAGAGCCCCAGGGGAAGTCTGAGCGTGCAGGGTTTATACAGGAGGATCAGAACTGGTTAGCTGAGGGCTCAGGGCTGGAGAAAAGGAGAAGGACACATGGCATGTGCAGAATCTACCTAAGGGACAATAAATTAAGGCCTGTTGTTTGCAAGGCCCGCTGGGGGCGGCTCCTCGTGCCCCCATGAGGTAGAGTTGTGCCCTCCTAAGGGCTTCCACTCAAGGGGTCACTTTAACCTTGCTGGCCTTTGGGCCTCGTCCTCTCCATGGGAGGGCGGATGTCTCCAGGTTGGAGGGCCCAAAGCCCTCCACACCTGATCATTTTGAGAAACGGGGAACAAGGGGCAGCAATCCCCCAAGGCGGGGCTGCTCCAGGCCGCTCCCGGTGCTCGGGCGGTTGGAGGGTTGCCGGGGTGGCCTTTGTGACACAGGCACGGTGCGTCAGGGCCCTCGGTGACACGGGACCTTGCGGTGCCCCCAGTCCATTGTGACATGGCAGCCCCACCCTGGCTGGGGGTACATAAAGGGCTTGTGGGGCCCGGGTCAGTCCCGGGAGAGCGGCTGCGTCCAGGGGCCTGTTTGTCACGGAGCATTACAGACATGGAGTAGGAAAAGGCAAGCCCCAACTCCCAGACCCCCAGCCCCTTGCCCAGCTGGCCACAAGACCAGGACCTCAGTGGGCAGTGGCTGGGGACAGTGGGAAGCTCAGTCCTGCCTCTGTCAGAGCCTGAGAGGAGCCGGCCTTTGTCACCATGGACGAGGAGTGGGAATGCGCTGGGGACGAAGAGCTCTCCCCGTGGGCAGATGTCAACAGACGAGAGCTTTGCCTGTGGGATGAAGTGACTCTGCAAGAGTTTTGCCAGGGATGAAGTGACTCTGCAAGAGTTTTGCCAATGGGAAGAAGCGGCATTCCAGGAATTCTGCCCCTGCCAGGTGAGACACCCGGAGCTGCACCACTGCCATGTGAGAGTGCAGTGGGGAGATGAGCTGTCCCCAGAGTGTGTGGCAGTGGAGGAACTGCACCAGTGCCATGATGATGATGATGATGACAGACGCCAAGAGTTGTGCCTGTGCGAAGAAGAGGTGACAGGCCAAGAGCCGTCCCCATGGGAAGGACAGGGATACCAGGAACTGTGTCTTTCAGATGAAGATTCGTATGTCTACCCATCAGAAGAGGACAAGGGAGACTCTGAGTTGTCCCAGGAGGGAGATGAGAGCCACCAGGAGCTATCCGAAGACCCCAGCATCCAAGAGCTGCCTGAGTGGAAAACAGACGTGAGTGAGGCACAGCTGTCACGTATCAGCAGCCTCACAGGGTTGTCCCAGAAGAACGTCAATAAGAAGCTCTGGGACAGCGCTTTGCTCAGAGAGAAGGACAAAGAAGCCCAGACTGATGCCCAGCAGGTGCCCAGATGTCCCATGTGTGTGTGTGCCGAGGTGGCAGCAGAGGCAGCCCCTGCCATGCCCAAGTTGCGGGGCTCTGGCCAGCAGCCAGAGCAGCAGGGGCGGCTGGAAGGCCAGGACCCGGATGGGCAGCCAGTTCCCCACAATGAACGTCCCTCGTTCTTCGGGCGGATGCTGCAGGCGATGAAGAGGTGCTGCTGCCCCTGCCTGGTGGCACAGTCGCAGGATTAGCGCCCGCTGCCAGCAGCACCAGGCCTGCAGATGGTGGCTGGCCCATGGCCTGCGCTGCATCCCAGCCGATGAAGTGACCTGGAAAGTCATCAGATGCCACCGGCAGCCTGGCACCGCCAGCAGCACCCCTGCACCGTGTCCCCAAGGGCTGCACCCACACCGCTCTTGCTGCCTTACAGAGACACTGACTCCAGCACCTCCACCACCTGCTGGAACTCCTCCCTCCCTCTCTCCCTTTCTTTTTGTCTTTTTGTTTCATTTTCTCTCTTTCCTCACCTATTTCCCATTTTCTTTCTGCCTTTTCTGTCTTTTCTAATCCTCTTCAGCAGGACAACTCCTTTCCCTTTCCGTTGGCAATAAATCTCTGATACAATGTTGTTTTGTTTGACTTCATTTCAACCTAGAACATCTGTTTTTAAAAGAACTCCTCACAGTTCCCCACATGGAACGATTCCTTCCTCCCTCCTTCCCTCCCCACTTCCTTCCCACACTTCCTCCTGCACTTCCTTTCTTCCTCTTTCTCTCTCTCTCTCCCCCCCTCTTTACCTTTTCTTCCCATCCTATCCCTTACTCTTTTCATTTTTGATTAGGATCACCAATTTTTTTTACACTTTGGAAGTGGCACCACTGCCCATCTAAGTGTATTTCTTTGGTGTGCACTGCCACATATCTTTGCCAAAGCAAAGTTTTGGTGTGCCTGGACAATAGGTAGAAATAAGTGTTGTCAAAATGATCCCTTGGCTGGAGTCCTTCAATGGGCTGGAGTTAGAAACTTGTCATTGTTGCAGGGCTGAGCTCTAGGGGTCAGCACAGATTCCTGTGATCTCTGAAATGACAGCTTCGTGCTGCTCAGGAGTGAGGGTAACTTGCAGATAATAATGGGAGCTCTTGGTTCAAAGTGCCTTTTTCAACATCTGAGAGCCTCCTGGGGCAAATTTATCTATATGGACATGCTAGGAATGCAATTTTTTTTTTTCTTGTTTCTGTCTGCACAATAAGACTTTGTTAACATATATTTAAATCATCAAGTTTCTCCTTTACTCTCATGTATAAAACATATTAATAGCCATTGGAACAATGGTTTGTCTATCACAAATCTTTTTTCTTGACACCGGTCTGTAGCAGCTTTTCAAGTCAGAGAATCCAATAGGAATAGGAGATTATGAATTTCCTCTTTTTTACTGGATGTAATCTGGGTTTTAGAAACTCCCCTGGACCATTTTTTATTCATTTTTTTTATCACTACAGTTATCTTACATTTCATTGCAGGCAGTCATTTTGCTCATTTATTTGTTTCATCGCTCTCAGAAATCTACACAGCGACCCTCCTTGACGGGAAGTTTTTTTGTGGGATTTCCTTGCTGCACTGGGACCTCATCTAAGAGAACTTTAGAGCTCCTTATCGTTTTTCATTGTCCAGACACAGTTTCATTTCACTCACCCACACACACAGGGACACACATCAATACATTTATGGAGCTTAGGTATTTCTCTGCGTTTTCAAGAAAAATGATGTTCAAAAGCCTCCCATTGATTTTTTGATAAATGGTTCATGCAGAAACTTGCTTGACAGCCAACAGGAATGAATAAGCTTATTCCAATAAAATCACCACCATGTCTGATTACAATATTTTTCAATGGCCAGTTTTGTGCAGAGAGAGAGATCCCTGCAGGGAGGTCATTTGTCAGCCAGAGTCAGAGCTTTAATGTTACTCTGAAACAGCTTAGTTGAAGTTGTGTGTGAGTTTCTCTTTCTCCTTTCAGAGGAATAAAAAAAAAAAAAAAAGGTACGAAGAAAGTAGAAGAAAAAAATGGAGAATCACAGCAGTTGTATAAATGAGCACACAGCAGCCAAAGTGATTTCCTGTAAGCTCCTGGTGCCAGTGCATTCATTTTGTGTTCTAATGGGGCACTTATTTGAGAAAAACCTCTTTTACATTTTTCTACATCTACATTTTCTTTAAATCTATTGCAGCTTATTTTACCAGGGTCTGCTTCAGCACGTTTTAATCATAAGATTATCAGATTCATGTTTATCAGTGCAGTGGCTACAATAATATATGCTCTGTCTCTAGGAATTAGTTTTGCTCTCAGCTCTTCCCATAATTATTTTTAACTAGACTATCCCTGTAGTGTCTGAAGCAGCTTCTGCACTAAATGTTTTTTTACAGTGGGATATGAAATTTAAATGGCGAAAATTCTACTTCCTTTGCTCCACAGCTGCCAGCCAAACCAGACTTTTTTTTTTTTTTTAATTTTATTTTGTAAAGTGTGCATTTTTCTGGTCACATTAACCATTTCAACACCAGCTTGAACCTGATACCCTCAGTTAACAAGGCCTAATTTTGGTGGAGTGACTGGATGAAGAGTGAAGGAAAACTTTTTCTGCAGTGTGCTTAGCAAACTCTAGGCAGGACTGTGAAAAATACAAAGAGGAGCAATTGTTGTAGGTTGTACAATTGATGCAGCTTGAAGGGAGAAGGATTTCTCTTAGCTTTTCCTATTTTGTCTGATGTGTAATTGGAAGTAAAAATTTTCGTTGTTCTTTGAGGAAAAGATCAAGCCAGGCTGGATGTGCTGGAGTCTTCCTCTACCCTTCCAGTTCTGCCAAAGCGATAATGTTTGGTGTCTCTTTGCTTCCAAAACACAATGAAAATGTGATTTCCTAGCAGTGCCTTCCCTTCACCTCTCTGTTTCTGAGAAGAGTAACTATCACACATTAAATTTTACAAAAAATATCCCCCCCCCATAAAAATCTATTCAGTTGTTGGGTGTTGCCATGTGTAATTTTTAGGTGGCTTTTTCCCACAGCAGGGGGGCTGGAAGTGGGTGATCTTTGGGGCCCCTTCCAACACAAACTGTCCTGGGATTCTGTGATTCTGCCCAGAGGGAAATCCCAATGATTGAGGCACTTCATGGAGACATGTCAGGAGGGAATTCAGGGTGCTCAGGCTGCTGAGCAGGGAAGCTGGCTGGAGATAACCAAGAGAGCGTGGGGCCAGGTCGGACTTGGAACCTTGCCCTTCCACGGATTTTGTCACTATTCAGAGTGAGACCATCAGGTGGTGCTCAGCACAGCCCACCTTCATCAGGGCTGGGAGGCTGGTCCTCTCCTTCTGAGCAGAAAGGTTGCTGCCAATCAGAGTTTTAAGGTGGCTGAAAGAATCAAAAGTGTTGGCAAAAGCAGGTTTAGTGCAAAAGCAAAAGCGTGGCAGAGTTCGCTGGCAATGTTCACTCTGCTACTGGCTGGGTGGTTAAAGCACACAGAGCAAAAGCAATCTAAACCTAAAATCAATCAATCTAAGCCCAAAATCAACCTAAAAAAATATCTATGTGGAGGCTGGGTGGTAGTCAAGGGGGAGAAAAGGGAAAGGGTAAGAAAGGGCAAGGATGAAAAGGAATAAGGAAATTCCTCCTATTGAGTCACAAGGTTCGGAATGGACCCCCAGGTTAAACTGAGCTCAGGACCTAACTACGCTTTAGGCCCAATGGTTTAACATAATTTAAGGTTAACAGTGCTTAATTGATAAATTAAACTTAAATTAAATTAAAAGATTTATATATTATAGCACAACAATAACTAATTTTCAAGCCTAACTTAAAAATCAAAGTTAGTTAAGGATCTAGGAGAGGCACATTCCTGGTACATTTTCTGTGGCATTTTCATACTCTTCCCCACACAGACCTAAAGAGTCCATACCAGGTTTATACACGTGAAAAAGTGCCCTTGAATCCAGTGACTGACTCATGCAGGATGCCTTTGCATCTTCTCAGTGGATGGAGTTTGAGGAGTGGGGGAATCAGCTCAGGACCCACTGTTGCTGTTTGCTCCAGGTGCATCAAACTGGAGACTTCACTGGCTCTGGGAAGTGCCCCACTCCCAGGAAAATGCTGCTCACAGCCAGCCTGCTGCTGTCCAAGAGAGCTCAAAAGTCTCTTGGCTGCTGTTTATAGGGTAGCAAGAAGGTGGTTTTATCATAGTAATTTTTCACCCTGGCCATAATTCAGGTCAGTAACCTTCTCTGAAAGTTCAACAAAAACATTATTATAAAATGGGATTCAGGCAAGGAAAATAAATTTCCGAGGCTGTTGGTTAAAAAGCAGGAGCTCGTTAGACAGCACAAGTTCCTGGGAGCTGAAGGTGTTTCTAATGAGCTCAAGAGGGGCTCAGCCCAGGCACTGCTCATCAAAGCCGAGGTCTAAGGAGCAGTTCTGAGATCACAGTGCAGCTCA